GCAAGAATGATGTGCCCTTCTCCTATGTCCTTTCAATGTCCCCCTGAGGAACTCTTTCAGACAGTGAAGCCCAGGTCCACACTTTTATTCTGATGTGACTGCTCTAGGGCAGGGACCTGTCCTTCTAACATTGCACATCTCTGTTGTGCAGCTTGGTTGAGAGTGGCTCTGTGACATCAATTTATAGATGAGTTCACTAAGGCTCATTGAGGGAGGGGACTTGCTCAGAGTTACAACTGTTGGGTTCAGGAGCTGGGAAGATAGCCTTGTCTCCTGGCTGCCAGGTCTGGCTCCCCCTAGTCCTCTCTTCCATAGCCCAGGCTGCCACAGCACACAGCAGAGAAAACGCACAATCCAGACAGTGGTTTCTATATCTGGTACTCTTGTTGGTCCCCAAGGCCATTTCAGGAGGCCCATCAAGTCAACACTGTGTGGCTTATGTGCCCTGCCATCTGGTCAGGTGGGGCCTAGTAAAGTGTATGTGTGCTCGTGTGGGCACACACATGTGTAGTATACCCACATACATATACATTCCAAGCATTTTTCACAGTAAGTAGTGATAGATATAACCCACATAAAGTTCTTTTTGGTCCTGAATAAGTTTTTAAGAGTACAGAAAGGTCTTGTTCTAGAATATAGTAGACTTTTCTAAAATATTCTGACCAAATGAGATTAACAAAAAAAAAAAAAAAAAAAAAAAACAGGCCGACCTTTACCACCTTCACATCCTCTGCACACTAGTGGAAAGTCGGAAGGTTCCATCATCCCTAGCCTACTGCAAAGGCTGCCCCTGATCCTCCCTGGACCAGTTTCTGCCTGGGCTGCTTCATGCACGCGCCTCTCAGTGCCAGGAAAGCAGGCTCCTAATCTCTGATGACTCTCAGAAAAACAAACACAGGAGGACTTTCCCGGAATCCACATGGGCAAAGAGTAGGGCACTTCACACATTGTGAGGATAATGGATATTTCAAAAATAAACCTGACTATTTTATAAGTTTCTGAAAAATAATAGGGTATTTAAAATGACTGGTAATGAAAGGAGGCTCTGAAGGACCTGTGATATAATTGCAACTGTCAGGTTGTCCCGGGAGCTCAGGGGTATCAGGTCAACTTCTAAGCCCTTCCTTGGCATCCCATGCTTCTCTGGCAGGAAGGGGCAACATATGAGCTGTATAACCCCGAGGTGTAAGGAGCCAGTGGCAGAACTCCAGAGCTGGAGTGTTTTTCAGTTCAAACAGTGAGAAGGGAAAAAAAGCTTCTTGGGCCCCCGCTGTGTCTGGTGCAGAGATGAAGATCCAGTCCCTACCTTCAGGTGATGTGTCACCTGGAGGCAGAAAGAGAGAGGCCTTCAGGGCAGGCTGTGGGTGCCATGATGCCAGGCTGCATAGGGAGGGCATCTCTGGAAAGGAGGTGCCCACAGCTCCGCAGAGACTTGTGCAGGCCACAGACTGGGAAAACCATTCCTCAGTGACAGCCTGCCTGTGCGAGGATCACCTGGGAGCTTGACTCCATTCTGGGGTGGGGTGGGGAAGGCTGGCTGCATGGGTCCAGGGCTTAGGACCACAAGTTTGAATCAGAATTTCCTGGGTCTCCTATAACCACCAGGAGGGACTGACTACCTTGGTTGTGGGGCCCAATGTGAAAGAAAAATATGAGAGTCCTTGTTCAAAAACTACCAAGAAGCTGCAGATGGTGCAGGGGCACATTGAAGCAAGTGTGGGGCCCTTCTCCAGGCAGGCCCTGTGAGGCTGACTGGGCTGCACTCCCCTGGAACTGGCCCTTGGTTTCTAGCCAGCAACTTCCTGAGAAGGCAGGGGCTCTCATCCCCAGTGATACCCTACCTAGAATCAGGGGTTAGCTCCTCTAGGCCAGTGACCTTCCAGTCATGTGCAGCCAGAGAATGAAGTAACTTCCACAGGAGGCGGCTCTTTGCATACCCACTCCTTCTCAGAACTATGGAGTTTCCTTAAAGCCCTGCGCCCTCTGTCATCTGGCTTCAGGCCCAACTTCACATTTGTCCCTTGCACCCCACACCTTGATAGCCCATCTGCTTCCCTGGCCTTCTCCCTGTACCCACCGGGTTCAACCAGGGGACCTGAGTCTTCTCCTCCATTCCCTGAAGGCTGCTGGTCCCTAAAGGGCATTTCCCAGTTGGTGTTCTGACCTCACAGCATGGGGCATTACAGAGAAGATGGATTCTCTCTCCTCCAGCCTGTGACATGGAAGCGTTCACTGCCAGGAAGGAGGGTTATAAATGATCACAGGGAGCAGGCTCGGTTCTTTTGTCACTTTACAACAGTCTCTGGAAATTGTACTCCCAGCTACTGTCTTCAACACCATCCTAGTCCTGGGCAGTGGACAGGTGGTCACAGGGTTGATGCCCTCTACCCACCTGCAGGACAGGGAGACTCCAGCTGCATCTGCACCCAAACATGGCACTGCAGGCAGGGTGAGGCTTTGACATAGGGTGTCTTCTTTGTTTACCCTCTGGTTGGCTGGATGTGGTGCTTCATTGCTTCATGAACAGTTTTGTTTATTTTTGAAGAGAGGAGTGTATGTGTGTAAAGAGCAAAGAGTAAAGCTTGCCTATCTTTGCTTCTTCCCTGGTCAAGCCAGGAGCTCACATCTAGCAAGGAGTTAATAAATATTTACAATGAATTAAATCAACTCATGAATCACTCAGGGCTTCCAGAACATCTAAGGCCAAATGCTCATTTTATACATGGGTGACCAGAGGTCTTGAGGGTGGGAGCCTAAGTCTGAGGTCTGAGGTAGTAGATCAGGCAGGTTGGCTGCCCATCAGCATCCCTGGGGAGCTGGGGAAGCTCTGGTTCCCCAGACTCAAGCCTGACCATTTAATCAGGGTATCCATACCCCTCCCACCCTCAAGCAGGTATTAAAGCTCTGCAGGTGGCCGTAGTGTGCCAGATTTCCCAGCCCTGACCTCAGGAAGAGCTGGAGGTAGAGGCTGAGCCTGGGGCCAGGAACCATCTCCCTGATGCCCCATCCCTGTCCTTCCCCTATTGCAGGAACCAGGGAACTGGGCTGCCTGTGAGGTCACACAAGGGGCTTCCAGGGAGAGTCTGGGAGATCTCATTGGTAGAAGAGAAGGGGGCACATGGATGCCTGCTCAACTGGAGGTCTGCTTGACCCTGCTGAGGTGCTGGCCCTGTGGCTGGAAGGCTTAGGTAGTCTGAGGGACAGCAATCCACCCTGGGTAGGTCCCTGGGCCCCCAAAGGGTCCCATGGACAGAAGCAAAGTGGATGGTCTTTCCTGACACACTGGCCACTCAGAAAGACTGCCTGGGTCAGGCTGACTAGCTACCCATATTGACCTGTGGAGCCCTATACCAGTTGCTTCACCAGTAGATTCACAATGACTTACTGTAAAGACTAAAGTCTTCAAGCCTCTGCCTCATTTCTTTAAGTGGAAATGGATTTCCAGTATCAGGCACTAAGGGGGCTCGTTGCTACTGTTGGTTATTATTTCTGAGCATTTCCAATGGGAAGAGCAAAAAGTAGAAGGATTTTTTTTTTAATTAAAGAGAAATACTTAGGGTTATTAGGTTTTTACTCAATTGCTTTAATTTTATATTTATACATCTTTTCTTTTACACTGAAAATCTTAGTTCCTAGCAACATTATCATAATTACTCATACTCTTTATCTTATAGTAAATGCAATAGTTTCAGAAAATAAACTATAAACTGACAGCCAACAATATGATGACAAAAATTATTTAACTTTTTTTGGTAGTTCTTTTGCCTTTAGGCTATTCACTATTAGGGATATACATTGTAGTTACCTGAAATAATTCCTTTCTGCATAGTTAAGCTACAGTATTGATATAGATTAATTTTCATTTTCCTTTTGATTTTTAGGAATTGCATTTTCCCTTTTAACTTTATAATTCTGTAAAAATATAAAGTTGGTTCCAAAGTCATGTATAATATGAAGTCAGATATATTCAGAGAAGTCTAATTTCTATCCTAGTCCTGTCAAACCTGTCCACCTCGCCACCATACGTAATTGTTCTGGTCTGAACATTTGCTCATGTTTCCCTGGAATTTGTACCCCAGGGTGATGGTGTCAGGAGGTGGGGGCTTTGGGGAGGTTGTTAGGTCTTGTGGGTGCAGTCCTCAGGCAGGAGCCTGGAAGGCTTTCTGTAAATCATGCCCACCTACTCTAGCTCCACTGGCAAGTTTGGGAAGTTTAATAGTTGTGGATATTCGTGGTCATTTGGCATTGATTCATGCTATTTGCAATGATGCCTGACTGTTCTCTTAAAATTTATCCCACTCCCATCTTGTAGTCCAGGGAAATGAGCTCCAACTCTGGCACTAGAGGGTGGCAAGTAACCCAGGGATGGGATCCACATCGCATTTCTAGGCAAATGAGTTTATATAACTTGTCAATGAAATGGGTCATGCTGGAGATTAGTTGGGGTCTAAAGAGAGACCATGTTCTATTCTTTCCCTTGGCTCAAACAGAACATAGGAGCCCTGGATGCCCCATGTCTCAGTCCTTGGGACCAGCATTCTTGGAGCTAGGTCTGCACTCTTTCGGCCCTGCATGCCCCTTTCCCAAACACCACCATGGGCTTCCCCCCATGAAACTAACACTGGAGAACTCACAGGAGAACTCACGACAGAGTGGGCATCACAGCTTACAGTAGGCAGGACATATTTATACACTTGTTAAGTTTTAGCATTAAGCTAATTGTACTGCTGAACAGTGAGAGGAAGGGGAGCATGGAGTCCCACTGACCTTGAAGACTCATGTGTTGGAATGACTAAATTGTCCTGAGGAGAACCACTATACTCTTTTTTAGCTTAGGCCACTTTTTCTTAATACCTGCCAAATGAGAATCCAAAGAATCCTGAGCTACCAGTTCTTCCTGAACGCTACCCTTGGAAAGGCTTAACAGCACAGGGAGACAAAGTGGCACCAGAACCTGTCGTTTCTGTTATGCCTGAGGAAATGGAGGCAGAACACACATGTAAACTCTATTTCACGTACACCACTTTATTCTGGATGTGGATCACAGATAACACGACTCACAAAACACACCAGTAGACATTAAAAACTAAGGCCATTCTGTGAGTTATTTTTAAAACTTGGTGTTTTTCACATAAGGATATTTTTAAAAAATGAATTACTAAAACCAAGATTCTCTTCTGAAATAAAAATTTTAGGGAGGGACAAGACAACTTTAGGGCCAGACCTCAACCAAAGCTCATCATGTGGCAGAACCACTTTCATCTTCTACAGCATGATAACTACTGTAGGGCCACCATGCCTCAGCACCGAGTGCTCTTCCCCACATGTGACTAAGCGGTGTTACACTCAGTGACTGGTACTTACAGACCTTTACCTCCCACTGGAAGAGGCTTTACCTAAGAAATGCATTGCAGAATTCTTGGAATAAAAAAAAAGAATGAAACCCAAACTAAGGCACTGAAAGCACATTATTTATATAAAAAAAATGTAAACAATTTAACACCAACAGGCTCCTCCATTAGTCCTTACTGTAAGAGTGCACAGGGGTGTCATTATTGGGGCCAGAGCATGAAGTCCAGGGGAAACAGAACATGCCTGTCTCAAGATGTGGTCTTGGCCACCAATATCCCGTTCTTGACATGGTGCTATTGCAGTAATTCATTTCAAAATGACATTACATGAAAGCTGTTATTTTTTTTCTAACATGCATTTTGATGGCATAAGGAAGGATTATTGGAGTCTAAAATGATGGGCTCTTTTAACATTTATTTTTTAAGTTTTTCACTATATTCTCTAAATTTTTGAAGCAAGTACTTTGGCTTGTTTCATAAAAGATATGTGGTGTAAGAACTTGTTACCCAGTCGATACCCCTTATATTTTAAGCACAGTGGTTCATATTGTAAATAGATCATACTTGCTATCCTTAGAACCTTTTAGAATGGTAAATTTGGCAATTGGACAAATACATTGTGAACATTTCAAAGTCACCTTCAAAGGACTGAGAGAACAGTGAGTAGAACTCGTTTGCAGGGCAAGACTTGCAGCTGCTCCGAGCAGAGCCCACGGTGATGGTGGGAAGCGCGGCAGAAAAAACTCCCGGGGACTGTCACAATGACTGGAGCTGCGATGATGCACGTGGTGTTTCAGTATCAACTTTAAACAGTTCTAAGCTCCAAATCATTGACTATAGTTCTTTAATTTTTTTAAATTAAAAAAGACTCAGGCTTTAAACACAGTTAACAATGTGTAGATCAACATGAATTATTACAATGAAAAAAGACCTTCCTGTCATAAAATAGAAGACTAATTTTTTGGAGTTATTTCTAAATCTTAAAGCAAGTACAGTGTGGATTTTACAGATTTTAGTGCTTTGTAATTATGAATTATGAGCAGGTAAAATCAATTTTGTATTTTATCTTAAACACATTTACATGGTAGTTGTAACTTGACCAATAAATGTGCAGGAAAGGCAGGTGAGGGGGCTATGTTTTCACCTGGGGTAGATAGCATAGCTTATCATTTTTACCCCAGGACAAATGCAATCCTGATTATTAAACTATTTCTGTATATAAATATGACCCAAAAATTCTTGGAGGAACTTAGAGACTTCTCTCATTAAGGAAAGGAAAAAAAGTTGTTTTTTGTTTTTAAAAAACCCCTTAAACCCCACAAAGGTAAATGGCTGGGCTGGAATATGTCAATTGCAGCTTTGAAGAAACAGTTAAGTGTGGGTTGGTGGTTTCAGTGGGCACTAGTTAATACTGTCTCAATAAATACAATATGTCCACAGTGTTCTGCCCCAACCAGTGCTTTCTCATAGAATCTGTTCAGTAAGTTGAGCTCATGATGTGCTTACCTTTCATGGCAATGGATGACTGAACTGCTGGGTAGAAGTCACTGTCAAGCAAAAATGAGATGTCACTAAAGAGAAGGCATTCATGCCCCAAGAGTACATAAAGCAATAAGTAGCTCTGGAAGCTGGCTCACTGAGCAGTAGAGCTCACAGACTGGCCAACAGCTAAAGACTTTTAATAGGCTCATATTTTTGCAGCTCGACCATTATCCCTATTACCTGGCCAAAAAAAAAAAAAAAAAAAAACAGGAGGGCAGAGCTCCAATGGGATGGAACCTATGATGACATGCTCCTTTTGCCTCAGAAGGAGACAGTGCTTTTGGTTCACTAGATTTTCTTCTGACTCCAAGTGACAGAAGTATTTAGACGAACAGTTGATCAAAAGTGGGTTTAAATATTACTATTGAAAGAGAAAGCCTGGGACTAAAAAGAGAGAGGTTTCCCTGCTATCATTGAAAAGGATTCATCTGTGTTATCCTTGTGTAAAATCTATCAAAGCTACCAGGCTTGAATAATTTAGGATAAACCATTACTGCCATGTCTGTATTTTTGTGGTTGTTTTAATGGCAGAAGCTAGATACCCATGCACTCGTAGAAAACAATAACCTCCCTTTTTTGGTAGGTTTTAAAAAATATTTCACAAGAAAGTTTCTGTCTACAATAACAGGATGTTCCTCTCAGCATGCCTCTAAGACAGCATGTGGCTGAATGCCTACCCCTTTTAACAGAAAAAGCTACACCTGCCAAGTTGTAAGGAAACCAGCACTGAGCATGCAAGATTGAGGATGAGTGAAGAACTGGAGCTAATTCCTAGCTTTTAAAATTCAAACTAAGGTTTCCAAGTGGAGAGTCTGTGGTTGCTCCCTGAGTCATGTGCAGGTGTGATTTTTCCATGTGAGGAAAGGGCACAGGTGGTCTTTTGATCGCTTGGTTAGCCCAAGATACTATGTGGAATGAGAAGATTCCTATGTTGATCAGTTTGAGGATAAGGGAGGTATGTTTTCTGATCTTAAAGGAGGATGGGATGGGATGGGTTTGATTGGCATACAAAGGATGCAGATGGGGCCCAGGGAGCAAGCCCGGGCACCACGTGCGTGGCTGCATGGAGGAAGAGTGCTCACCTCCGGGGGTGAGCTGGGCAGTCAAGTACCAATGCCTGTCAGGCCACACTACTCATGAGTTCCACACCTGCTTCTGGTCTGGTGAGTCTGTTGGGTTAGAAGATTGGGGCTTTCAGAGAACTTGTATATACCTTGTCTATCAATAGCCTGATGATTGTTTAATAAAATTATGGCCCAAGTTATGTCACAGCAATCGATCCCTGCTACATTCGCAGCATCAAGATTACATTCAGAGATTAAAAAAAAATTGTAGCAATATTTTCCCCACAAAATTAAGTGCAAAATATCTTTTAACAAATAATGATGATAGTAAGAAATATCTGACAATCATGCAAAATGCATCTCAGTTTACAAAGGCTTAGAACATTTCCAAAATATCCCTTTAGGTTTTTACATTGTGAGCCTGACCATCTTATTCATTTTTCTTTAAGTTTAAATGTGCCTGCTTGTGAAAAAGACGGTAACATGCAAGTTCAATGATTTCTAGTCCGCCAAATATTCTCTCTTGCAGCACAAAGATTACAATGGTGACTATAAAATACCACCGAACAGGGCTGTACAAATATATGAGCAGGCACATTGCAGGGCTGAAAAGGGTCCAGTACAGTATAGAGAGCAACTTGACCACAAGGACCCTGAGCTCAGACTTGCAAGGTGGAATTACATGCTGTTCAGTCGAACTGAAAGTCTTCTCCCCCTGGTAGAAGGAACGCAGCCTCTCTTCCTTCTCCTCCCACCGCTTGTGGCACCAGAGCTGCAGGTCCTCCCTGGACATGGGGAGGGTGTCTACTGGATGTCGATGGACATGGAAGTGGATTTCCTTGGGGAAGTTGCCATGGAGGAGGTGCTTCTCTGTTTGAGGAATGTTGTGGGGATATGCCACAGTAATGTCATGGACAGCATCGAGGTTCTTACCTAGGTTTGGAAAAGATAAAAATATCTTTGTTTTAGCAGTGATCAATTGGTGTATAATGCTGACTCACAATGAAGAAACGAAACACTGGAAAACCAGGACAGAGTGAACCATGGTGAACAACAGGGGCTATAAATATAATACTTGATTCAATATTTAATAGTTATTTTTAGCCTTTTTCTCCCCTGTTTGCTAATTATCACAAAGACCTTTATAAATTATCTTCATTCCCAGAAATGGTAATCTGCCATTCTAGAATTAAATGGACAAGCACATCAGGTAGGATTTGAGATGGGAATTGAAGAGTACAGATTAGCCCCTTTACCCATAGGATTCACTATTTCAGTACCCCTTAATATCCTCTCCACATAAATACAAATTTTCTCACCTTTACCATGAAAGCTACTGCAAAGAAAAGTTCAGAATCAGACTTGAATAAGTGGTCAGAAATATATGAAAACTTCTATGTGATTTTTTAAGTTTTAAAAATACATCAAGTTGAACTCCAAGTAAGACCCTGACCAGAGATTCCATCTTCCTTAGCAATTTAACTTGCAGATGCTGGAGATGAGAAAATGTGAACAGCAGCCTCATCTCCCTCAAGATGTCCTCAAAATACAAAGGGAGACGGCTGCATTAAGCCTTGACCAACCCCATTGGGAAGAAGGGGGACCTGGAAGGCAGAGCAGGGTCAGAGAGCACGGTAGGAAACAGGGCACTGAAAGTGGGCTGGAGGCAGGTGGTGCAAGCCCTCGGGTTATCATACTTTAGAATTTGAACACTCCAGGTGGTGGAGAAGCATCTTGAAAGGTGGAGGGTCTTGGAAGGTTCTAAACAGAGAAGAATTGTTTTGGGGGCAATGACAACACTGTATGGAGAGACCAGGGGCAAGAGAGTAAAGATAGTAATTTGACAGCTGTTAACAATTCAGAAGGCCAGAATGAAGAGGAGACAGTGACCAAAGAAGAGACACATCCAAAAACATTACAAGGAACAACTGATATGATACAGCTGGAACTCGATGTGGCTGGATAAGGAGGGGAAGCAGGGAGGAGTGAACACACTTGTTTTTGTTTCAGGGTACTGTGCAGACGGTGGGGCTTGAGACAAGAAGTGTCGGAGCAGGGTTGGATCTAAAGGGGCCACAAGGACATTTAATAATACGCTGTACTCGAGGCTCAGAAAAGATTAAGTGTTTTGCCCAAGGATACAGGGCATGTTGGTGCAAAGTCTCTGAAAATTGCTGTCCTCCTTATTCTGTTGTCAGCTGGAGACCTTTGATGAGACTTGGATTCCTTACCAGACCAGAGAGTACAAACAATACCAACTTGTGGGGACAGAAATCAGAATAGCAGTTGCCTATAGGAAGTGCCTGGAAGGAGCATAAGGAAGTTTTAGGGGTGACAAGGACACTGGGGATTACACGGTGCTTACATTTGTCAGGATCACCAAACTGGACATTTAAGTTGTGTAATTTCACTCTATTTAAATTTACCCTCAATGGCAATAATAACAAGAAATGAAGTAACCCCCTCACTTCATTCCATATTAAACCCACTGGGTTGGACTCGCTTTTTAAAAACGGTTCTTCAAGTCTTCTATAAATGTTTGTCAGTCCCCATTACGTTGTGAATACTTTAGGACCTGGTTTCAATCTGGTTTCCTAACAGACTTATAAAATAATCATCACTTAATAAGAGCTGGGTTATAAAAAATGAAAATGTCTCCATCAACAAGGCTTAGATTCAGAACTGGAGGGGCAGTCCCTTAGGAAAGCTGCACGCTGTTGACACGGGGTCTAAGGGGTACAGATGGAGGCTCATAGAGAAAGCTTTAGCAGTACTGTATCTAAAGAAAGACCAGGCCAGATGCAGAGGAGTGGGCCAGAGGCTGGAAGCCACAAGGTAAAGCTTTGTAACAGGGCTGTCAAAAGGAAATGTATTCACCATTTGAGAAAAGGCTGGTTTGCCCACAGGCCCACTATGCTACTCTGGGAACTTACCTGTTATGGTGGATTGTCTGACAAACATCTAGAAAAAGCAGACCTGCTCTTCTTCTGATGCTCTGAGCATGATATATCCCCTGGAATGGTAACTGTTAATTCACCTACATTGAAAAATCAAGCAATCTTTGGTCTATTTAGCCTTAATCACTATTATACTTTCTATGATAACAACAACAACAACAAAAAAAAAACTGAAAAAAAGTCACTTGTCATACCAATTGGCCACATTCAGAGTTATATTCACATTTTATTTACCTTTAAAACTTTCCTGCAACTAGTATTTCAGCTTCCACCATCTGCCAGACCCTTCTCCTCCATCAGGGACACTGGTCAAGATCAACACTGTTGCTCAGCCTTAACTGGTCTGCTTTTCCCATGTAGTCCCTTCTATCTTCCATTCAGTCACTCTACACCACTCTCACATTTAATCTTAGAATTGGAATAGGTTTCAATCTACTCTTAAAATAGTTTATATGTCCCAGTCTATCTCCTACAGACAGTTCTTAATGCTTAAGGATAAAACAGAGTCATGTACAACTAAAAACTGGTATCAAAATGGTAAGGCAAGTTTCTTGCTAGTTTTAGTAAAAACTAAACAGCTCCATATTCTCTTCTTTCCTCTTGAAAACCTACATGGTGTGTGTGGGGTGTTGTCCCTTGCATGTCTATGGGGTTATAATGTTCACAAGTAGCAAGTTTTTAGATCCTGAGAATACCACCAACAGGGACTATCCTTAGTGAGGAATGCTCAGTGAACAGTATGGAGGTCTGGGGCCTCTTGACTGAGTCACCTTATCTCTGTGGCTTACTTAGTTCTTTCATCTAGAAAACACCTCACTGGGTGGTTGTGAGGGTTAGATGAAATAATGTATGTAAGCATGCATGACAGGATCTGGTGCACAGTTAACACTTGGTGAAGGCCAGCCATTGCTATCACTGGACCATCAGGCTAACAGGCTGGGCTGTATCCACTGTGACCTGCCTGGTGTCTAAGGGAAAAGCTACATTCAAGTCCCCTCTCTCTGTATCATTGTCTACATCACTGTTTTCCTGGGCCCCAAAGATACCAATTATGAATCTCCTGATTTAACCTTTCCACTCAGGCTAAATGTTCAAAGTACTGTTTTGTAAAACTGAAGGTAGGGGAAAAAAAGAAAAGAAATCCCTCTGCTTCAAACATACTGCTTTTCCCCCTGAAATATATGATCTTAACTTCTTGCAATATCCAGCTCAAATGCGAAAAGTTCTAAGAGCTTTCTTCAAGTGATAAGGCCTAGGGTGGCGTTGCCCTCTGTGAGACAGCACATGAGCTAACAAGCTTACTCCACACTCACTTGTCACTGTGGTCTTAAAGCAAGAGCCATGTCCTCTGTGTCTCCAGCACTAACAAGGCTCCAAAAATGTGTATCTGATCTACTAACTTTTTATCTGAAAATATGAGAGATCATTATGCTTTCTACACTGGATTATTAAGACAATTTGAGGGCCAGTGTAGAGTGAACCCCTTACACAGTAGTCGGCATGCAGCAAGCTCTTGGTGTTAGCAACTATAGAAGCAGTCAGTTAATGAGACTGTCTTGCTCCACAGGTTTCCCCCCCCCCCCCCCCCCCCCCAATTTGGGTTCTATGAATTCTTGGTTCTGAAGGAATTACAAGAACTTGATACAGGGCATTCACCTTATAAAAGGGCAATATTCCAAAAGTTTCTTTTAAAATTTAGAAATTTGGAGTTACATTGTAACTCAACATAATTAAAATACTTATATGATAAGCAAAGTGCACGACATTATAACGTCAGCCACACAAAAGCCAACAAAGTGAAGGGGGAAGCTGGGTGGGGAGAAAGCAGCTGTACCTTAACACTCATTTTCCTGTGCTGTGCTGTAGCTTAAGCCTCCCTTAAGCATCATAGAAACTTAGAAATGTGTTAACTTCCAAGAAAAAGAGAAGGAAACAGAGAAAGGCTTTTACTCATGGAAGGAATTATTTATAATTATTAAACTTCAGACAGCACAAAGCCACAGCTACTGGGCACTGAAGGTTAGGGCCCAATCCTCTGCAGGCAGGAGAGTGTACTCCATATCATCCTCTGTAACCATACTTTCTGGCCCCTGGCCCCTAGCCCAGCAGAGCCAGTCCCACCACACAAGCGAGTTTCCTCCTAAAGGGAACAGGTAAAGGATGGCATATCTAAGTAACAGTAATGAAACTGAATGTCAAAAGTTGAGATGTGTCTGTTTAGTTGATTAGTTTATAATAGGGCTAATATATTATGTATTAAGAAAATAAATTCCTACACTTACAAAGGATTTATACTGCTTTTATATCTTTTGGAAGGAAAAAACATTAGACTTAAAATATGCAAATTAAGATGGCTGCCATCAATAACAGCCATTTAAAATATCCTACTGCTTGTCGGACAATATAAATGATGTGTCTAGATGCTCTTGATATCTACCAGCACGGGGCTTAGGAAATGGACCTGTTCTATTTCGGATGCTGTATGTACTGGCAAGTTTCATATATCACTATTATTTTTTAAGCCAGCATTCAATTAGAATAGCCACACTCACTTGGAACCATGGTTGTTTCTTTTCATCCCTGGAAAAACAAAGCTCTTGCTTTATATTGCAAATCTTAATTTCAATCCCAGAATGAGATCGAGGGAAGTTTGAATACCTTACTCATGTTTAAGTAACCAATGGAAGTTTAAAGCTATGACTGACTTTTACTAATATCCAGAAGGGAGTGTCTCCATCATCAAGTTGAGCCCATGACTGTTAGAAGATCCCTACCAGATATGAAAAGCTCACTGGAGTGGCAGTGAGCAAATTCCCACACATGTCCATATTTAAAGTAAAAGACACATAAGAGACTTTTGAAGACTCTAAATGCATTCTAGAATGAAGAAATCTTGATTTGCCTGCTAAAGCATCAGTTCCAAGTATTCAGCTCAATGACAGAATAATACAAATGGAAATATCTTTTTTAACCCAG